GTTCCAGCATCACGTTGTGATGTGCATGTTTGATTCTGCTGCAGCTGAACTGGATCTGAACCAGAACTCATCCTGCTTCCATCAGCGTCTTCAGTCTCTGATATCTACATCAACACACGTTGGATTTCAGCTAAAACACATGTTAGTTTCAAAGCAGAAACTCTTTAAATCCACACCAGGATGAGTCCAGTGAGGATAAACCTTCTTCCATCACAACCTGCTGTCTGGTGGAGGACGTCGGTGTTCTACTGACACCTGCTGGACGCTCACGGTTCATCAGCAGCTGTTGTTGCTCTGCTCCTCATCAGAAACATCATGTTGACGAAGCAGCTGCATGAAGTTTAAAGCCTCAGTTTATATCATATTTATGTCATATATGAAAGAACAAGTGCATAAACCACGTCTAGATTCCAGTCATTTGATTTAATGCGTTAGTTGTTACACACTTAACGCAAGAAATCATCATTAATGCTGCAAGAATGACATAAAATTCAACATTGACTCGACTCAGAGTGAATATTTTATAAATTTTTGGAGCTTTAACTTTAGCTCACCTCAGACGTTGCTTCACTGTGACACCAGAACAATGAACAAACCAGACGTCCCAGTTAGTCAGCTTCAGTAATGATGGGATTTTATTTTATTTTAATGTCATATATTATTTTACAACAAGATTAAAAACACACATAAATCAAAAAAAAAAAAAAAAAAAAGATTCCAGAATCATGACAGTATTTTACAAAGTAAATATTTTTTTTACATACAAACTCAAAAAAAGTCACAAATAAACAGAAAATGCAAAAAAAACTGAAGGAAAAAGTGTAAAACAAGAAAAACGTCCTGCTTGTTCCTGATAGTTTGAAACACTAAACAAGCCTCTGACTTCTGTTTTCTGTAATTTTACTCCTTTTTTCTCATAAAGTTTCTTCTCACGTGTCGTCGTTTGTTGTTTATTTGTCTTAAATTTGAAGTAAAAGCATAAAAGAAAACTTTACTTTTTGAGTTCAGTTTCAGAAAACTTCACTTGCTGACATTTTTTTCAGGTTTTTTCTGAACTACTTAACTCCAGTTCTGAGCCACACAAGCTGTTGTCAGAATGGATTTTATTTAAATATGAAGTCAGGAGACGTTACGCAGCGACATCTGGAGCATCAAACGTTGAATTTATGAAGCTTTATGCACTAATTTGTCCCATTTTTGCATCATTTTATGCTGTAAATGTCTTTATTTATGCAAAGGAAAACAGAATTCAGGCACCAGGTGATAGTTCAGAACAGAATAAATAATAATCAATAAATCTGGTTGTTTGAGGTCATAATTTATATTTCGAGAGTTAAAAACACACATTTGCAAAAGTCTTGTGCTTCTTGCACACAAAAAGTTTTAATAAAATGCATATAAAACGTCTAATCTACAGATTCAGAACCTTTAAAGCTGCAAACATTATTTTAAAGTGATGAGTTGATATAATAACATTAATAATTAATACTGTGTCTAATTTAAAGTCAAATTTCTGCTTTAGTTGAATTAAAACTAAATTCAAGTTGAGGTATTTGTGAAATTTGCTTCATTTTTTTTTCACCTTGAGGTCAGAAATTCAAGTTATTTATTTGAATATCACAACTTAAAGACTTGGGTTCATAATTATAGTATAAAAAAAAAAAACAGAAAACTTTGAAAAACATGAAAATATCAGTTGGAGCTGCTTCAGTTTTAGGAGCAATTGAGTTAAAAACTTCCAACAATTCAGTGAATTTAACTTGAGATAAGCCAATTGCTTTTTCTTTTTTCTTTTTTCTTGAGGCCAGATGTTATTTTTTTCGTGTGCATCTGGTGTAAATATTGAATATTTATGACGGCATAATGTTCACATGTCAGCAGGCTTTTCTCAGATTTATTTAAACTGACCGACTGACTCCTGCCTCACATGGACGTGGAGCTGCTTTAACGTCCAGCCTGTGGTGCGTTCAGGGACACCAGGTGTTGCAGGGGTCTCCCGACTGGAAGAAGCCGAAGACGCTGACCAGAGGAAACATGGCGGCGGCGCCCAGCAGCGAGCCGAGCTGCACCACGGCGCCGCAGCACACCAGGGCGCCGTGGCCTTCGTCCCTCAGGATCAGGCCGATCATCACCTTGACGTAGGACAGAAGCAGGACGAACAGGAACCAGGACGACACCTGAGGAGGAGGAGGAGGACAGGTGGTGAGGGCTGCAGCAGATTCATACCTTCGAGTCGTCATCAAGAACACAAAGGAACCCACGATGAGAACGGCTCCGGCCGAGTCGTGGACCAGCAGAGGACACGGGCTCAGCACCGCCATGGCCATGATGAAGCCTCCAACAGCAGAACCAGCAGCTGTCAGAACTCCCAGCAGCACCAGAGACCTGGAGACGCAAACGAGTGGTTTAAACTAATGCAGAATCTAAACTAACAAAACTAACTGAACCTGACGACCAGAAACCACAAAGGAAATGTCAGAAGTTAAGTTCAGTTAACCTGTATTAGAAAGCAACTGTTTCTACGTTCATGAGATAAAATAACCTTTATTGGTTAAACAGCTTCAAACTTCAATGTGAGAAAATCTGTGATGTGGGTCGACGAGCAGTTATCAGAATAAAAATATCTCTGAAAGGGTTTGAGCTGAAATGTCCCAAATTTCTTTATAAATGTCTGAAGTTTATGGTGTAAAAATGTCATTTAAATCAGAGCTTACTGAGCAGAAACTGGATGGTTTGAGCTGAACAACCTGTCAAAGTGTTTTTCTAAAAGGCAGATGGTTGAAATCAGAGCTTCAGTGAAACCTGCTGCATGTTCTGTGGTTTTTATCTCCTCTGACCTGTTGGGCAGGAACATGGCGATGAAGCAGGCCAGAGGGTTGGACACGGCAGCCAGAGACGCAGACAGATGGTAGGCGTTGTTCCCGTAGGGCAGGCAGGAGTAGGACTGGACCGAGGGCAGCACCACGTTGGTCAGAGCGTTGGCCCAGGCCAGCAGCCCCAGGATGTAGGACACCTGCAGCCAGCTGTAGGAGCCGCTGCCGAAGCTGCTCCTGGGCTTCCTCTGGCCACACGGCTCCATCATGGGCTTCTGCTCGGCCCACTTCCTGCCCCGCTGGGCCTCCTGCTTCACCCCGTTGGTGTAGCTCCTGCTCGGGTTCTGGCGGGCCACGGACGGGTGGTGGTTGAGCAGCAGGAAGGCGAGCAGACACACCAGCATCATGGCGCTGAGGAAGAAGAAGAACTCCTCGGCCGAGAAGTTTGGAGGCTGGTACTGGGCCTGCAGGTCAAAGGTCGTGGCATTGGAGGTCCGGTTCAGGAGCTGCGTGCCGTTGATGCAGCGGACCACGCCGACGCCCTGGATCAGCGCCACCACGGCGGGCAGCAGGCCGCTCACGCCCTCCCCCACGAAGTAGGAGGTGAGGTAGCGGGGCTGCAGGCGCATCATGAAGGGCAGGAAGGTGACGGAGGAGGTGCAGTCCACGGTGGCCAGGAAGAAGGTCAGAACCAGCAGGGCCACGCTGCGCCGGGCGCCGCCCACCACCACCGTCTCCTTCCAGAAGAAGCCCAGCAGGAAGCTGGCGACGGTTCCCACGGCGATGACGGCGTAGACGACGGCCACCTCGTTGAGGACGCCCGGTCGGAAGCGGTGCATCAGGGTGACGAAGAGCGGCCCGACGTTGGCCATCTGGATCAGCACCGACAGGTAGGAGGGCAGGTACCAGCCCTCGGGGATCTGAGGGACGAGGAGGGGCAGCTCCACCCAGAGGCCGTTGATGGAGACCCAGGAGCCCAAACCAAAGAGGCAGGACAGCAGGTGGGTGAGCAGAGACATGATGGAGGACGGAACCGGTCGGATCTGGACATGGAGCGACAGGGAAGGTTAGAAAACCAGCAAATGTCCTTCACAGAGGTCTGAGGTTTCTGGAAACCAGCGCTGCAAAATAATCATAATGAGCAAATCAGATTTATGGACATACAGTCGTCCTCTGATGTATTCATGACCTTCCATTAAAGAAAAGACAAAATCCACAACAGTCACTCAAACAACTGGAAACCAGGAGGGTATGAACACACCGCACATGACTCATGGATCTGTTATAAACTCACAGTAAACAGTTGACATACAGGCACCTAGAAGTTCCTCCTTTCTATTGATTTTCAACATTCAATCAAGGTAATAAAAATGGTATAAATGAATCAATCAGCTTCAATAATTACCAACAAATCTTTATTATCGTCATAAATACGATGAAACTGAAAGTGCAGTCGTCACGTGTGCTAAAGGGTTTATTCATACTGTATAAAAACATAATTACCCTGCATTCAGTTTCCCTTCAAATTGTTCTAAAACATAAAAACATGAGGCACAGACGTAGATTTTAAATGTAAAAATCAACACGGGGAAAAAAAACATCCAACTAAAACTCATTGTCGTACTTTATGACAAACTTTTCTGACAGAAACCGGCCTGGAAACTAAAAACTCAGCTCCAGGATGAAAATGGACGTTTTAAAAAATTTTTTAAACATTAAAAAAAAATCAAATGTGGGAAACAAAAAAAAGCACAATCTGGTGTGTACATATTATATTTCTAATTTCCCAGCTTCCTAACATTCATCCCTTTTTGTGGCATTTTCACAAATCTGTCAGATTTAAATTAAAAAGATTAAAACAGAAGAACAGAAAGGCCAAAATAAATTAATTAAACTTTATTTAAAAGGTAAAATCTTACAGTTCCTAATAATGTGCAAACTTAAACTGCATAATTTCAAATAATAAATAACTTGAGCTCAACATTTATTAAAATGCATGAAATTCCTCATTAAATGGTGTTTTTTTCCAACATAAACACTCAAACATTCAAATTTCACCGAAAAATGAAGCTTTTAAATGAACTAAAAGTTGCTGTTTGAGAGAAAATTGAAGGAAAAATAGTTTCCTGTGGCTCTAACTTGATAAACAATTATAATATTTGGGATTTCTACATCATACTGAGTCACTTTCCATCACAAAAAATAAAAAAACATCAACAAAATCATACATTTGAGGCTGAGAAGTTTTTAAAAACCAGCCTTTCAGAAGCTCCGCGGTCTGTTTGCACACAAAGGAAGGAAACGAATCACAGGATCTGAGGATCTGAGACGCTGCGTTTGTTTAGCAAATGTCTGAAATCAGTTTGTTCAGTCAGTGGAGTCGATCACGTGAGGCTGAGGTCAGGTTCAGGAGAAGTTTGAGCACATTGACATTAAAAAAAAAAGGTTTAAGGCTGTTTTTCTTTTACAAAATGATGAAGAGCAGCTTTAATGATGAGACGAGCTGCAGCAGGATTCTGACTGCAAACGATGAAACTGGATAAAAGAGATTAATGTGTCACCACGCTGTACGTGACTGTTATTCCAACGTTTGGTTAATGTTTCCTGAAAACCTCCGTGTCTTCCTTGTGATGAAGCAGGTTTGTCACGTGAGCCATTTCGCGCTTAAAATGCCCCCCCAGAAAAAAAGAAAAGAAAAAAGAAGAAGAAGCCACATTTCTGCCTTTTTGAGTCGATTAATTTAACAAGGAAGGAAACTCCTGCTCGGTTACAAGAGCTGAGAAAACATCAGAGTGAGTTTTGTTTGTTTGGGAAGAAGCTGCATGTAGAGACGTCTTTGAATTAGAGAAAGAAAAGACGGAAATTAGCTCAAACAAGTGGATCATAATCAACTATTTTAGGCTTATAAACACAAAATATGACAGAATTTCTCAATACAATAAAAAAAAAATGCATAATTTGACTATTAGGTGCATTTTTGTAACTATAAAATGTTAAAAATGCATCCGTGCAGATACTCACGTGCTGCTGGCCGGAGAGTTGGGAGTCGTCTGGAAGAAGCCAAAGTCCTCGAGTTCAGGAGGCTGCTGGAGGATTAAAGCCTGAGCGGGAGTCCAACCGTGACACAGGTCTGCTCAACTGACCGCCGCTTTTAACTCTGACCACCGTTTTAGGGAGGTTTTTAGGGATCGTCACATGGCCAGACCGTCTTCGCCTCCGAGCGGGTTTGTGAACGAGCGAGAAAGAATCCACAAGATTCATGAATCCTGCTTAAGGGGATCATGGGAGCAGAGGTGGGAATTGTTTACAGCGTCCAGTTACGTAATAAACAGGATTAATATTAGCTTATGTAATCGATAACACGCTGGGTGAGTTTTAGGAACCAGCTGAGAAACAATTAGGTTCATAAATGTGCATTAAATGTAAATCTGCAGTCAGATGAAGCAACAAAACATAAAATGCATGTTTGGGAGTTTTAAGGCCAATTAAAGAATCAATAGCTGCTGTTCTGATAACTAATTAAACAATCAGAGTATTTTTAAAAAAAGAAAAACTCAAAATTGTCTAATTTCAGCTTCTTAAATTTAAACATTTACGAGTTTCTTTCCTCAAGTATGAAAAAAAGTAAAGTTGTTGTTTTGAGTTGTGGACAAAAAAATAGTTTTTTATTTTGAGTTTTGGAAAACACTGACATTTTTCACCATTTTCTAATTTTTTAAAGAAAAAACAACTAATTAATTACCCGTCAATTAAAAAACAGGACTTGAGTTGCAGCTCTAACCTGCGGAAAAGATGAACGAAGCCAAAGTGCAGCACTTTGAACCTGCGTTGTTCCCAACAGCCAGCAGGGGGCGACTCTTATTATGCT